AAGTTGACAAATACTTCCCCATCTCTCTCTCTCCCATCTGTCCTTTCCTTCCTGTCCTGCGTTCTTCCTTCATTCTTCCCAGCTTCTGATAACAACATCTCCTACCGCTAGCCACGCCTCACAAGTCAGCCGTTAGCCTTGACCCCATCTTGTCTATCTGTCGACCACTTGTGCTCTTTCAGCTGTATCTCAGGCCTTGTTTACATGAGAGAGGTTACACCAGCTCATTAAGGTGATTTTAAAAAAAATCACTTTAGTTAAACTGCAAAAAAAAGGCTGTGTAGACACTCTTATTTTGGTTTAGCTTAAGTCGATTAGGAGCTGGTTTAAGGTAAACAGGAATAAGCCACTCAAAGTATATCAAGGGTCCACACAGAGGTATTCAAAATGGACTATAACAGGGTTCAAAAAAGAACTAGGTAAGTTCATGGGGGATAGGGCCATCAATGGCTATTAGCCAGGATGGGCAGGGAGGGTGTCCCTAGCCTCTGTTTGCCAGAAGCTGGGAATGGGCGACAAGGGATGGATCACTTGTTGATTACCTGCTCTGTTCATTCCCCCTGAGGCACCTGGCATTGGCCACTGTTGGAAGACAGGATACTGGGCTAGATGGACCTTTGGTCTGACCCAGTATGGCCGTTCTTATGTTCTTATGACTAAAGTTAAACCTGCAACTTTCTGGTGTGAAGGCTTCATGGCTTTTTTTTTTTTTTCTTTTCCCCTTCCAACAGTCCCTGGGTTTTCCTTAACCTAAAAAACCCTCAAGTTCCTTCCTACCCTTCCAGTTACAGCCCTGTCACCCACCATACTACTTGAGCATGCTGCATCTTTTACTCTGCATTGGCTTTCTCCTCGATTTCCCCGGCAGATTTGCTTCTGCTTCGTCCTCGTCACCGAACCGGTTATCAAAAGTCTCCAACCTCCTCTTAGCCAAGCCAAAGGGCTTGAACTGGAAGCTAGAGAGAGAATGTTGGAGGAGGAAAGTGACCAAGTCAGAATGGCGAGAGGAAATGATGAGAACAGCTGCAGAACTTCAGACTGGTTGGAAGGGGGAGAGGGTGAGCCCAGAGGGCAGTAACTTAAAGCCATTAAGATCAAAGGTGACCAAGAAGTGAACCAAGTTTTGACACTCCATGTGGAAAGGAAAAAGGAAGTTGATCATTTGTCATCAATATTATTTTAGTTACCAAATAAGAAAGAACCCAGTTCTGCTTTCGATGAAGTGCACATGCTTCCCCTTCACCCTCAAAGAAAGCTGCATGGTGCCTGAGAACAGAACTGGCTCTTGGCACTGTTAAATGAATCTTTAAGTTATTTGCAATGTTCTTGTAGCTGTGTCAGTCCCAGGATATGAGAGAGACAAGCTAGGTGAGGTAAAAGAGAGTCTCTCTCCTGCCTTGTCTCTTTGATTTCATTACATGAAAACACCATACAAGTACATACAACTCACTATCTGATGTCGTCTGGCTTTCTTTTGGTCCATACGCTATCCAAGGGACTGATTTCTGCAAGGCCCTTAATACCCACTGAAGTCAATGAGAGCTAAGAGCTCACCACTTTCCAGTATAGAACCCCAGGTGATTCTGAATACTTTCACTCAGTAGGTTTGAGTACAAACTACAACCAAACTGGAAATGAAGGTTAAATTATTAAGACCACTGATTTTTAGGCCATTAAACTAACAATCATTAATTTATGCAACATCAGAAAAATGTTAGAATCATAGAATATCAGGGTTGGAAGGGACCTCAGGAGGTCATCTAGTCCAACCCCCTGCTCAAAGCAGGACCAATTCCCAACTAAATCATACCAGCCAGGGCTTTGTCAAGCCGGGCCTTAAAAACCTCCAAGGAAGGAGATTCCACCACCTCCCTAGGTAACGCATTCCAGTGCTTCACCAACCTCCTAGTGAAAGTGTTTCCTAATATCCAACTTAGACCCCCCCCCACTGCAACTTGAGACCATTGCTCCTTGTTCTGTCATCTGCCACCACTGAGAACAGCCGAGCTCCATCCTCTTTGGGAACCCCCCTTCAGGTAATTGAAAGCAGCTATCAAATCCCCCCTCATTCTTCTCTTCTGGAGACTAAACAATCCCAGTTCCCTCAGCCTCTCCTCATAAGTCATGTGCTCCAGATCCCTAATCATTTTTGTTGCCCTCCGCTGGACTCTTTCCAATATTTCCAGATCCTTCTTGTAGTGTGGGGTTCAAAACTGGACACAGTACTCCAGATGAGGCCTCACCAATGTCGAATAAAGGGGAATGATCACGTTCCTCGATCTGCTGGCAATGCCCCTACTTATACAGCCCAAAATGCCGTTAGCCTTCTTGGCAACAAGAGCACACTGTTGACTCATATCCAGCTTCTTGTCCACTGTGACCCCTAGGTCCTTTTCTGCAGAACTGCTACCTAGCCATTCGGTCCCTAGTCTGTAGCAGTGCATAGGATTCTTCCGTCCTAAGTGCAGGACTCTGCACTTGTCCTTGTTGAACTTCATCAGGTTTTTTTTGGCCCAATCCTCTAATTTGTCTAGGTCCCTCTGTATCTGATCCCTCCAGCGTATCTACCACGCCGCCCAGTTTAGTGTCATCTGCAAACTTGCTGAGAGTGCAGTCCACACCATCCTCCAGATCATTAATAAAGATATTAAACAAAACTGGCCCCATGACTGACCCTTGGGGCACTCCGCTTGAAACCGGCTGCCAACTAGACATGGAGCCATTGATCACTACCCGTTGAGCCCGACGATCTAGCCAGCTTTCTATCCACCTGATTTGGAACCACAAATCAGTATTTTTTAAATGAATTCATCAGCTAAAACCAAACATGATCTGATCAAAAACAGAACTCAACTCTCTGTCCCATGTTTGCTTTGGACACAAGGAGTGTGCTGGAAGTGGTTACGCTTGTCTGTTTGGAGAGTGAACTTCTTTACCATTTGGAGCCAAAAACTGGTTGGCTCCAAATGGATTTAGGTGCTAGATATGTGTGGGTTTCTTTTCTTTTTTCTTTTTTTTCCAGTACCCTTTACCAGGATGCCCTGGGGTCCATATGTTTCTGTTGGACTAACACCAGGGATAGTTGCTTTTTTGGATGGCACAATCTGGGATTTCTGAGCCAAAAGTTAGCTGGCTCCAGGTGCCAGACCAGGGTTTTTGTGGTGCTGTTATGCCAGAATGTGTTGGGGGGCCTGGTTTTTCATAGATTCATTTTTCAGGTGGACTCATGCTAGCTATGCTTGGCTAATTTTGGCGAGTACAAGTCTGGGGTTCCAGGCAAAAACTCCCCCCAAAACTGGTTGGATCCAGGTGTCTGATATGAGTTTTGTGGCTGTCTAGTGCCAGGATATGTCAGGGTCTGGATTTTTGTGGTGTAATTGCTGTAGCTACATGGGGTCTATATAGAGAATATGATTTTGGGGTCCAGGGCCAAAAACTGGTTAGATCAAGCTTTTACGTACACCCTGAAACTCTCTCACTTTCCTTCTATATATTTTAAAGATGACATCATCTTTCCCTGGCCAGTCTTTAAATTCAGAACTTATTTAGTTTCTGAGTGTTAAGTTTCCTTCCATTTCTTTATAGTGCAGCTTTTAATGCGATGCTTGAAATTTAACAAACAGACCTTTAGCCACTCCCTCTGTCTTTTACATTCCGCACTCCCTAGAGTTATTCATCTATCGCTTCTTTGGTGAGAATGCATAATGGCGAGGCAAATCAAACACTGCTCGGATGGCAAACAAATAGATCATGATGGTAACTGCCAAACGAGTTCAGTAAGAAAACAACAGGCATGCCTGGGACTCTAGAGAAGAACTGAAAACGTGCCTGTGTGTCCTGCCTTTTAAAGTGAAAGGGGCATTGTCCAATTAAAAACCACACGTGCGTCCGAACGTTTAGTACCTGCTGTTGTTACAAGCTAGGGTGACCAGACAGCAAGTGTGAAAAATTGGGACAGAGGGTGGGGGGTAATAGGATCCTATATAAGAAAAAGACCCAAAAATCAGGACTGTCCCTATAGAATCGAGATATCTGGTCACCCTATTACAAGCCCCCCTCAAGATCATGTATGTTTCTATTTTATTCGTTCTGTTTTGTGCATTTATTGGCACTTTTGTGCCAATTTGTTAGTCTCTAAGGTGCCACAAGTACTCCTGTTCTTTTTGCGGATACAGACTAACACGGCCGCTACTCTGAAACCTTGTGTATAGTCAGTTTCACCATTTCCCTATTCCTTAGCGAAGGGGAAACTGATTACCCAAATTAAATGATTGATTATTCAGAGCCATGCATCTGAAGAAGTGAGATGTTTTTTTTTTTTTTTACCCACGAAAGCTTATGCCCAAATAAATCTGTTCGTCTTTAAGGTGCCACCAGACTCCTTGTTGTTTTTGTGAATACAGACTAACACGGCTCCCCCCTGATACTTGATTACCCAAAAGACCCTTACAAACCTGAGCAGGGAAACAGTTTCTGTAACAACAACTTTTTTTTTTCAAAAGACAAGACAATATTTCCGGAGCTGCTATTTAAAGGGGGGGCTATCAGAAAAAGTATTCGTCTTTAGTTTTCATTAGTTGGTTAAAAACCTTGCAAGTTGCTTGTCTCCTTTAAGGAGCTTGCAAGAATACTTCAGGTACTGGTGGGTTGGCTGATTGGCTCCTCTGCCAATCACTGAGGTCCGGTCGATGGAGCGGGGAAGGTGAGAAGGGCGGGTCGGTGGAATCACCGTTCATAAGAGCAGGTGGGGCTGCAAATCCCCTTTCGAGGCACTGACAGAGGCGCGGGAGGGGTGGATCGGGGCTTGAATGGGACGCGCCGAGGAGCACTAGGACCCAGGCGGGGTTTTCTCCTGGGTGGCTCTTCCCCTTTCAGCCCGCATCGCTTAGTGCACAAGGACTTTCAGTTTTGGCGGCGCTGCTGCTTCTTCTTTTTCTAAAAATAAAAGTCTTCAAGTGTCAGGACCAGGATGGTGAAGATGGGGTGAGAGAGGCGCAGACATGGCAGCAGCAAAGCGCGTGTTCCACCTCCAGCCATGTGGTAAGGCGCAAAGACCCGAGCAGGGATGGGACAGGGGCGGCTAGTTCCGATCGCAACGTGTGTGTGTGTGTGTGTGTGTGTGTGTGTGTGTGTGTGTGTGTGTGTGTGTGTGCAACTCACAGGCGCGATGTGCAATGTTTACCGGGGAGGGTTTTCCTGTATTGCAATGAGATGGGCTCAGAGGGCAGACGGCTTTAGCAAGAGCGTTTGGTTTTCATGGGCAGCTCGCTACGTCCCCCCTCCCCCCAAATTGCAAAAAAAAAAAAAAAAAAAGTGTTAAGTTTTGCCCGAGTTGCATCATTGTTTGCAACCCTTTTGTGTCTAAGCGAGTTGGGGGTCTGATGCAAGGTAGAAGAGACCGGGTTTGCAAAACGGAGCGAGTTTGACAGCAGTGGAGGCTATTTTAAACCGAATCGGTGCAGATATGACATGAAAATAAACAGCCACTTCCTCCAGTAGAGCAGGGGATAAAGGAGCCGTTTAAACGTTTATGGTGCACGGGGGTGATTTACATAGGTTGGCATGGGGGGAAAAAATGAGCCTCGGGTGTCTTTTTAACTAAAATGTAAGACTGTAGTGAGAGATGAGTCTGGCTTCTCTTTAGAAAAGTTGTCAAATCACTGGATCAATGTAACCTGATTGCAAATGGTTGGAGTGTATGCATGTGTTGGGAGAACCCCAGGAATGTTTTCTGACGTTGAGTTTTAGAAAGGCTGTTTGGAAACCCATCGCTTAAATAATTGCACTTGGAAATAAGGTTCTTCACAACCAAATGGATGACAAATTTAATGTTGTGCAATTGTCCCCCCCCCTTTTAAAAAAAATGGATATCAGTACTTCCTTGAAAAGCACTATGGCTGCTCTAATGTTGCTTTTTATGAAAAATTAAATTGCATTGGGTTTACAGCCTTTTCTCGATGAAAGTTCATTCTAGAATAAAAGGTTTCAGAGTAGTTCTTTTTCTAGAATAAAAGGTTTCAGAGTAGTTCTTCTTCTAGAATAAAAGGAACTGTGTAGTTCAGAGAAAGCAATAACACTGTCTTGGAACTGGGACTCAAACTTTCCTGTAGATTTGTTTTGTTTTGGTGGAGTTCATGGTTTTTCTCCTCAGTTCATTGGTGATCTTTGTGTACTGTATCTCGTTTAAAAACTGCTTGACCTGCTTTGAACACCAATTTTCCAAAGAAATAGGTTTCCTCTCTCTTTCTCTTTGGCTACCTACTCATCTCTTTCTCTACTTGTTAGCTCTGTTAAAAATCTTGTCATGGTTGTAGTTTGTCATGGCCAGCCTGTGTTAAATGGGCGTTTTGTTGGAGTTCTGCTCTTATCCAGATAGATGATGTTGGTGACAGAAGTGGGCATGTGAACAATCTCTATCTGTTGGCATTTGGATGTTTTCCACGCTTTCATCCTCATCCTTGTCGATGACAGGAAAAGTTGCAGTGCTTGATAGATAGAAAACTTCTATACAAACATTGTCTTCTAGCTAAGATTTGAAATGTGTTTTAGCAGCCCACTAAACGGTGTGTGTTACTTTTCCACATAGGGTCTGCAGTTACGAAAATAAATGACTTTTACTGCACTCATGGAATATGCTATAGAGCATGCATTTATTTTGTACCTTTGACCCTTCTCGCCTGGATGGCTGTTGGAGTCTGTCATGTACACAGATCTCAGGCCTTTTAAGTACTGTCATCTAACGCTGCTTTGAGAAGGATGGTGCTAAAATACTTAAGCCTCTTCTATGCTACAACCTCCACCATTCCCACCACCAGCGGTGGGCTTTGTAACTCAACTTCTAGTGTAGACGGCCCCGCTCTCTCCCCTAAGTCATGCCAGCCACCACTGTCTCTGAGCAGCTTTCGTGAAGCTACCATTTTGTAACAATTACCTGCGATGGAAAAATTTTCTTCTCCCTTGCTCCAAAGATGGACGGGTTTGAAGTCCAGTATTGGCAAGTCCGTCCTTGACAGCTTGAAGGTCTGATAGCTCTTGTTTAAACACGGTTAGAAACCCCGGCTTTACACCAGAACTGTGCTTCTGGCTTTCCAGATAAATACAGCACTTATTTGTAGTGCTGATGGGTCAGGAGACATTGGCCTTTAAAATGGTGATGCCTTGGCTTATTGCAAAGCTATAACTTGAGGCTTTCATAAGTTATTAAACCAACTTTTTTACACCGAATGAGGCTCACAATCCTGGGGATGGTCAGCATGAGTAATGTGTTTAGCCCAAAGTCATGTCAATGACTTTACCTGACACGGTCATATATTGGTGTGTGATTATTTTTATATAATATCCCCCCCACACCCTCATTACTCACAGTACATATGCTTCTACAGGAATTATGAGATTGTCCCGCCCCCACACAGTTTACATAGCACACATGTGTGCTAAGTATATATGGGACAAAAGCGTTACACTATATTACATAAATTGAGATTTTTTTAAAAAAAGATGCATATGACATTAACCTCCAGGGGTCTGGGGAGGTATTTGTGAAACCCAATGAATTCCAGTAGTGTCCTGTCAGCTAATGCTCAGGGCTTATTCTCTGAACACCTGCAGTGATGCCCTGCTGACCAAGAATCCCATGGATACAACAAATGTTTCTTTGAAGTCCTGTTTCCTTCTAGAATGTTTCACTGGGCATAAACATGTCCTATAGGGCAAACTGTTTGGATATTTTTAATGACACATCACTCGAAACTAAGTCATCCGCCCTCTAATTACATATATGTAAAACTACCATTAATTACACCATGAGAGGTGACTTATATAACAGTATATCTGTAGTGATAGCCACATAGAAATAATATGCTAAATCCATCCCACAGTGCCTCAGTTTCCCTATGTGTGAAAAGAGGCATTGATATTTGTGTCCTTTTCTAAAGGGCTTTGTGATCTAAGGATGAAAAGTGCTAGATGGTAGTACTGTTTTGTCTACTCTACTAATGCTAACTTGCATGTAGACTTGCAGAAATCTACTGCATCTGCCACTGTCGGAAGACCGGATACTGGGCTATATGGGCCATTGGTCTGACCCAATGTGGCCGTTCGTACGTTCCTATGTACTGCCTGTATTTGAAAAGCAGATGCTTGATGGCTCTGTGCTGAGAGCTATTGCAGCAGGTGGTGAAGATTTAGCAGAGGGCAGTTTTTCAACTTACAGCAGAATGGTTTTTTATTGGAAGCAAGTCTGTTTTGTTAAAATATTCCTGCCCTGTGAACAGGAACTGTAACCATGGCACAGTGCGGTTCCGTATCTGTCAACGCTACTCAATCTACAGCTAGAACAATGTCTTTTTCTAGCTTCCAGCCCTGTAACCTCACCCGGGGTTCTGGGAGTCAAGCTGTATTCTTTCCTTCTTTCTCATCATCATCTGTCACAGAGGTCCTGCAGACTACACTATACTGACAAACACCAGTGCAACCCCATTGTCATCAAATTAAGCCGAGTGCCACCTGTGCAAACCCATTACCTTCAGTGGGGTTTGTCCAGGCGTCACTAATTTTAAGTAGGCAAACAATTCTGTGGACAGGACACAAAAGGGATTGGAATCCAGTTCCCTCTCCCATGGTGAGGCTGGCTCTTCAGGGCTAACTTTGTTTGTTTGTTTTAAAGGCAAAAAACACTGAAAGCTGACTTTACTCATTAAAGTACATGGGAAGACTTTTGCTTACATATGGACAACAAAGAAGTGTCTGTTACACAAGCAACTGTCAAGTAGGCATCCCACTTTAAGGACTTTTTTTTTTTTTTTTT